CTTTTTTTTTTTTTTTTTTTTTTTTGAGATAAGGTTTCTCTGTAGCTTTGGAACCTGTCCTGGAACTCTGTAGTCCAGGCTGGCCTCGAACTCACTGAAATCTGCCTGCCTCTGCCTCCCAAGTGCTGGGATTAAAGGCGTGCGCCACCACCACCCGGCCACTTTATTCATTTTTATACACTCGATGTTTACTGAGACCCTCTTCCTGGGGGTAGAAGCTGAGATACAGCAGAGGACAGGACAAATTCTTCTCCCTTAGGGAGCTGCTCTAGTTGGTGGAAACACCACAAATAGCCACATAGTGCCACTAGACAGTAACTAGTAACAAGAGAAATACCCTCTACTGAGAGGGTATCAAGGCAGGGAATGGCAGCTCACACTGAAATCCCAGCTCTTGGGAGGTTTCTAGGCTAACCTGGGCTGCATGGAGACCCTGTACCAAAAAGTTATTTAGGGTGATATGGGCAGTATAGTAAGGAGAGTCAGGGAGGGCTTCTCAGAGGTGGTGACATCAGCAGAAACTTGAATTTAGATACATATCCACAAGATTTTGCATATATATATATGTGTGTGTATATATATATACATGTTTATGTATATGTGTGTATATAATGTATTATATTTACACTATAACCTACTGGATATCTGAGGGAAGAGCCTTTCAGCCTCAGAAAACCACATATGCAAAGGCCCTGAGACTACAGTATCCTCCACCAACTTGGAACTCACTGTGTAGATCAGGCTAGCCTCGAACTCACCAAGATCTGCCTGCTCTGCTTCCTGAATGTTGGGACTGCGCCACAGAACCTGGCCTAACTAGCCTCTAAATGCTGTGTGAAACCTATAAAGTGGGAATCCATAGTGGAAGAAGAGGAGCAGGGCACTGAGCAGCTGTGAGAAGCCTGCTTGTAGTAATAATTTTGTTTGTGATCTAACAAATAAAGCTTGCCTGAAGATCATAGTGCAGAACTAAGCCACTAGTTAGCCATAAAGGCCAGGCAGTGGTGGCACACACCTTTGATCCCAGCACTCAGGAGATAGAGTGTAGTGGATCTTTGTGAGTTCAAGGCCACCCTGGGCTACGTAAGAATAATCAGTCTAAAAGAGAAACAGCCAGGTAGTGCTGGTTAACACTTAACAATCCCCGTATTTGGGAGTCAACGTGTGTTTAATCCCAGTACTAGGGAGGTGGAGACAGGAAGGGACGTGGCTGGGCTGAGAGAGGAACTTGGGTGCAGCCTGGGTAGTCAGTCCGAGGACAGGATCGCCCCTATGGTCTGAGCATTGGTAGAAGTAAGAGCTCTATCGGCTGACCACTCTGCTTCTCTGATCCATCAGCTTTCACCCCATAGTTGACTCCGAGTTTTTATTATTAAGACCAATTAGAGAAAGCAGGGTGGTGGTGGCGCACACCTTTAATCCCAGCACTCAGGAGGTAGATGCAAGCAGATCTCTGTGAGTTCCAGGCCAGCCTTGGTCTACATGAGCTAGTTCTAGAACAGGCTCTTAAAACTACAGAGAAGGGCTGGAGAGATGGCTCAGCGGTTAAGAGTATTGCCTGCTCTTCCAAAGGTCCTGAGTTCAATTCCCAGCAATCACGTGGTGGCTTACAACCATCTGTAATGAGGTTTGCTGCCGTCTTATGGCCTGCAGATAATACACACAGACAGAATATTGTATATATAATAAATACATATTAAAAAAAACTACAGAGAAGCTGGGCGATGGAGGCAGAGGCAGGCGGATCTCTGTGAGTTGGAAGCCAGCCTGATTAACAGAGCGAGTTCCAGGACAGCCAGGACTGTTAAAACTGAGAAACACCCTGCCTTGAAAAACAACAACAAAGACACCACCACCCCATCCCCTCCCCCCCCCTGGCACTTACACACACACACACACACACACACACACACACACACACACACAAAATGAGGGCCTCTGAGGTTGCTGAGTGGTTAAAAGGTGCTTGCCACCAAACATGAGTTCAATCCCTGGGACTGAAAACAAGTTGTCTTGTGACCTGTATATGTACAACATGGCATGTGTGCCTGAACCCCCATAAACACAAATGAGTAAATATGAAATATATATAATATATATTTATTTGTTTATTTTGGGTTTTTGAGACAGGGTTTTTCTGTAGCTTTGGAGGCTCTCCTCAAACTAGCTCTTGTAGACCAGACTGGCTTCAAACTCTGCCTCTGCCTCTTGAGTGCTGGGATTAAAGGCATGTGCCACCTCTGCCAGGCGTGAAATAAATTTTTTAAAAAATAACATGGAAAAGAAGGCTGTCCAATAGCTCGGTGGTAGAGCCCTGCCTATAATGCCCCAGTGAGGGGCTGGGGTGTACCTTAGTGGTAGAGCCCTGCCTAGAATCCTCCAGTAAGGGGCTAGGGTGTGGCTCAGTGGTAGAGCCCCTGCTTAGTACTTGAGGTCTGGAGTCCTAAGCCTGGGAAAACAGCAGCTAGCACAGTGAAGCAGGGCTGGTGGGGCCCACACAGAGTGATTAGACTGACAACAAACAGGGATTCCATGCCCAGGGGAAATGAGTGCTAGAAGAAATCCCTTAGGGCAAAAGGCCTGGCTGCCACTTTAGATAAGAGCCAAGGAGATAACAGTAGAGCCTGCAGGCCTGGAGCCACCACACCGGTTGCTCTTGCTCCGGCCCTAGGCAGGCACTGATCTCCTATCTGCATCTGTAGATCAGCTTGTTCTGACATTTCCAGTACACGGAAGCTGGTGGTATGCTGTTGGTCGTGCCTAGACGCCTTCCTGGAGTCTGGGTGTGTTGTAGTGGTAGCCTGCAAGGCTGATGGTGAAAAGGGACTGAGGGTACACTGGATGAGGGAGGGTGGGGAGCCTGCTAGGGAGATGATAGTGATCTGACAAGGCCAGAGGTCTAGACTCAAAAGAGTCTAAATTGGGTGTTGGATTTAATGTGGTTTGTGTGGAGTGACACCTGCATGGGGTGTGGAGGTGCAGGCCTGTGGTCTTTGCTACTAAAGGAGGCTAAAGTAGATGGAGGTTCAAGGCCAGCCTGGGCAAGTCAGCAGAATCCTGTCTCAACTCAAGCGGGAGCTGGAGAGGTGGCTTAGAAGTTAAGAGCCCCCACTGTTTACAGAGGTCACAGGCTCAGGGCCCAGCAACCACACCAGCCACTCAGAAGCACGAGGCCTCTGGAGCGTCTGTACTCGCAGGCACAGACCCACACAGTCACAAGCAGACACACAGAATTAAAGTTAAAAAAAAAAAAAAAACTGTAGCTGGGCGGTAGCCTTTGCTGCAAGCAGTGGAGTGTGGGTGGGTCTCTTGAGTTCAAGGTCAGCCTGGTCTAGGGAGTTCCAGGACAGCCGGGGCCTGTAAGTAGAGAAACTCTATCTTGAAAAATCAAGATTAAATAATAAAATAAATTAAAAATATTTTTTTAAATGGACTGAAGAAAGAACTCAGTTGGTAATGCTTTTGCCAACAGAGTATCAAGCTCTGAGTTCAGTCTTCTGAACCCAGGCTTAAAAGCCTTAAGTGAAATTCCAGCACTCAAGAGGTGGAGTCAGGAGGACCCTGGGGTCACGTTGCCCAGCCAGTCAAACCAAATCAGCAAAGTCCAGGAGAGACTGGTCTCAAAAATGAGTTGGGACAGTCCACATGGGTGCACACATCCCTCACACATGTATACTCCTGCACACCCACACAGAGCACTCCCTGACACAAGGCTGCTGATGGAGTTAATGGTAGAGCACACACCTAGCTTGAATGAAACTCTCTTCCAGCTCCAGCATAGGAAAAGAACGGGGAATGAAGGATGTACTTCAGCCCCAGCTAAAGGATGGAGCGGCTGTCTCTGAGGCAGGGGTGGAAGAGGAAGAAGGTCAGGAGCTCAGTACTGAGTTGGGAGTGTCAGTAGACAGTGCACAGACTCGAAGAATTCCCCCTGAAGACACTAGAGCGCCCCAGTCCCCAGGACCTTAGTCCTCCCGGCAGACTGTTCAAGTCTGTCCAAGAGTGTGAATCAGGTCCCAGGTTGGGAAGCCCAGCAGGCAGGGACAGAACTAGGAAGCCCTTCCCCTGCCTTCATGGCTGGAGAGAGCTTCCAGGAAGTATGGCCAGGGCACCAGCCGTTCTTGTCTCCTCTCCAGGGACTCCAGCTGAGGGGTGAATGGTGAGTGTCCAGATGATTCTGAACTCTGGGGAGCACACAGAGCCCCTTGCTACCTACGGGGACAGCAAGACTTTGAAGGCTTTTGTCCTCTGAAGCTGGCCACCAGGTTTAATGCATCGACGACTCTGCATTCAGAGACTGATGTCACAGGCCTCTGTTCTCTTGACATGCTCTAACTTGGGTGGTATTACAACTGGGTTTGTTGTTTTGTTTTGTTTTCTTGTTTTTGAGACACAGTCTCTCTATACATCCCAGGTTGAGCGCCAACCAATCCTCCGGCTTCATGCTCCAGAATACAAGTATTTCAGGCATGAGTCTTGATAGCTGTTCGGGTTTTGGGGTGTGTGTTTCCCGGGGTGGGAGAGATCTTAGGGTGTTTTGTTGTTTTTTAAGGGTTGTATATGGTGTAATATAATCCAAGTTGGGTGAGCAGTGGATGCAGGCCTTCAGCTTCTCAATCTCCTTCTGGCTTTGGCTTCCTAAGCAGCTGGGTTAACAGGTGTGTGCCAGCATGTCTAAAAGGCAAAGTCAAGCCAGGTATGATAGAGCCCACCTGTACTACCCGCACTTAAAAGCTGAAGCAAGAGGGTCAGGACTTGCACATTAGAGTCCCTGTTTCATCAGAGGAGGAAGGAACTGAGATTGTTCTGGGGGCCAGGAAGCCAAATCGGGAAATGAAGCCTTTTAGGCTCATTATAACTTACCCAAGGTCTGTCTCTTTACAGATACCGCAGCCCAGAGCAAAGGGGGCTCCAGCAGCCCAGAGTCCTCGGCCCGGCCCTCTTGCAATGTCCCTGAAGCCAAGGAGGGTGAGTCCCCTTCCCCTGCAGCCATGCAGCCTGTCCAGCTGCCCCGCCTGGCCTTGTCTCCACCTCTCCCTGCCCCTCCACCGCCACCCACGCCGCTGGCCCAAGTGGCACCTTCATCCCCTAGCCCACCACCTTCTCGGCCCACCTCAGCCCCAGAACAGTCCCTGGACTTTCTGCGGGCTCAGCAGGAGACTGCCAATGCCATCAGGGAGCTGGCTGGCACCCTTCGGCAGGGACTGGCCAAACTGAGCGAGGCCCTCAGCGCCCTGTTACCCCTTCTGCCGGGAACCCCAGCTGACCCGCTCCCTCCGCTCCCACCTCCACCTCCGCCCCCACCTCCCAAGCCAGTTCTGCCACCACCTGCCCCCAAGGTGGAGGTCTCCTCAGAGCCTGTGTCCGTGGTAGCTGCTGTCGTGGATGGGGCTGTAGTAGCAGCTAGGGGAGTGATTGTCTCCCCTAGAAGCGAGGAAGGGGTGCCCAAACCACCCCCAGCTCCACCAGTACCCCTCCACGACTCACCACCACACAAAAGGAAGAAAGGCTTCCCTACACGGAAGAGGCGGAGTCGCTGGAAGTCTCCGTGAAATCTACTCCCGTCTATGCTCCTGCCTGCAACCCCCTCTCCCTGCTTGGCACAGTCGAGGAGGAAGCTGCTCTTTGCCCATCCTAGCTGCACCCTGGCTTCCTGCTCTAGGGAAGTGAGCACCCCACTTCCTGTGCTAGTTAGTGCCTGATTCTCTGAGTGGGTCCCCTGGGTGGGAAGCCCTCAGCCCCTTTCTCTGGTACAGTGGTGTCTGCCTGACTGCCTCCTGTAACCCCCAACTTGTAAGCCATCAATTTTATGTTATATTGCCCCATGTGGGGTGGGAGGGGGGGACCTCCTGGCTCTGCGACAAGCCCCTTTGCCTAAGAGTTGCTGTTCTTGTCTTGAAGAGAAGCAACGTGTGGGGACATCCCCACTCCCCCAGCCGACTTCGGAAGGGTTGGGCGTTTGCTAGACAAATGAGAATGTAGAAGAGGACCACTTCCCTTCGGGAGAGGGAGGCGGGATTCTGATGGGGGAGATGTAGGTTGGGTCCTCTGCTGTGTCGTGTGTCTGACCTCCCCAGCTCAGCCCCCCTTTTCCTCTCAGTGCTGACAAGAAGTCAATAAACTTATTTTCATACAATCAGCTTGGGGTTCTGAGACAGGCCTTGGGCTAGAGCGCAGCATTTAAGACTATTCCCTTCATCCCCTGCAGGCCACACCTCCTGAACTTTCTAAAAGCCTTAACTGACCCTGGTATGGAAGCCCAGAGTGAAGGCTGTGATCCCAGCTACTCAGATGGCTGAGGGCAAGAAACTGACTTTGAGGCCAGCCTGAACAACAATAACGACACCCTGCACCCCCCCCCTAAAAAGTCTTCAACTAATGTTTCAAATTTGAGATTAGTTAGCGTTCATGCAGGCCCGTGTTAGGAGAGCAGTTCGGTAAAGCAACTTGGATGGGTGACTCGGGTAAAAATAGTTGCCTGAGGGTCAGATTCCCAAGAACTACACAGAATTTAATAGGCTTTTACAATTGTAAGAATTTAGAGTGTGTGTG